TATTCATTGGTTATAATGTAAATGGAAACAATGTAATAAACGGTACATTCCGATAGCAATATGGCATGCATGATGCTGCATGATGATGCATGGCATACAGCAGATGATATGATGTGCACCGTGATATATGTGATGCGATGCGATGAGAGGCAGGAATCGAGTCGACCGATCGGACTAGAAGACAGAAACGGCGAAGCGCGCGGTATATATTTTTACCGATATATATTCAATATCCATTTTATGAACGAATGACGAATGCACTGCGCTGCGAAGATGAAGCATCATAAATATTGAGACTACATCACGAAAACTGACTATGCGCTGATTTAAGATTTGCTCTGAATAACCTCATTGAGCCTTCTCGCTTTAGTCGCTGTGTCAGAAGCAACAACAGTCATTCAGCTAAAGGAGCAATGTCCTAGTCTCCAAGGCGCTGATGCTTCCGCTGAACGAATATCCGTTGACATTATCACGAGCACCAATTCAAAAGATCACTACGAACTGCAGTTGGAACCATTTCCAAATGGCCTTTGTACCCTGACTATTATCTCGACTGATCAAGAGAATCCATATCTCATTCCAGTCGCCAGAAGCTTTGATGATAGGCAATGGCAACTTGCTGCAGGTCCGTTTGCAGCATCGCTAGATTTGGATTGCCCCAGTGATGCTAGCGCCTGTAAAATCCTTCTGCCTCCCGTGAAGAATGAGGAAATCTACCGGCTGGCGTCGAATACACAATACACTGACAACCCACGAGCACATTCCATTCGATTCTTGGAACGAGCAACATTTGGTGCAACGGGTGATCAGCCAGTCATTGAAAATTTTGAAGAGTAGATTGCACAGCAATTCAATGAGCCTCCAACACTCCATCGCGAGGTCTTTCGTAGGCATGCCAATCCTCGATCCAATAGGCACACAAGAATTATTGCAGCGGCTGGGCCTCATCCATGCACAATCAATTCCAGGTGGAGACGATTTGCTTTTACTAACCAAGATGCCGGCGAGACCTTACGAATGGAATCACTGTTTGGTGAACAGGGCGAAGAGATAGTGCTGAAGGTAGACGGTGTCTTTAGAACAAAGATTTTAACGCCATTGAATCTTGTTCAATTTGATGACGGGTTTGGAGTTACGATTGACGCTAGCGCCACCGCAATGAGCTTCGACACGGACTATGAAATTTGCATCGATATGTCCACCTTTTATCAGGAAGGGACATTGGTGCGTGTTCGGCGACAAGGGCAACAAAGATGTCTACAGCTTCGCGATGGCAACCCGGGAATCTAGCTTCTGAATGAAATGTCCGATGGATCAAACACCGCTGGTGACTCGACTATGTACATCCTTGGTATACCCGACTCTGCATTGGTCCCAATCGACGATGAGACTTATCCAAGTATATACTGGAAATCGTTCCAAAGCGGGGATGAATTCTGGTTGACAGCCGCGATCGATGTACCTTCATGTTCAATTATTTCCACTGGCACTGGTCCGCCTACGGTTTATGCACAACTCGAGAGCTCACAGGAAGCATTTCTTTATGATCCCCGGGTGATCCTACAAGAGAATACTTTGGATAATCCCATCCTAGATGGTGGGAGGTCCTTGGTTCTTGAGACGAACTGTATAGCCAATTGTGCCAATGCTCCGCGAACCTTCTTGAACGAAGATCATTGTGTACTTTCGACTGCCGAAACGGCATGCCAAGCGAGCGAGGTTCTTGAAATTGAAATTGAATTGTCAGAAGAATTCATCAAGGTGTCAAATGAGATTACCGGTCGATATGCAAGTAAATTTTGTCGCGCTTTTGCTGGAATTTTCGATCGGCGTTGCCTCAATTCATTTCTATTTCATAATGGGTGCCGATTGCAGATCTATGCTGTGGACAACTTGCCCATCAACGATGAATCATATCGAGATACCGATAACCAGCTACAGTATTACAATGAACCCCCTCGTAATCCTTCCCGTTGGATGCTGGTCGACGCAAGCATCTGCCAAAACCCAAACTATAGAACTGTTGGATTGCGAACACAGACTGTCTTCGGTAATCTGCTTCAGCGTTCATCTAGTTCCGCGGACTCTTGGTTGGAAGATGTACTGTTCTTTCGCGGTCTCTTCTGTGACGAGGATGATAACGATAAGCGATCCTTGGGACTCATTCGAGACGGCGACGGTCATTGTTGGCAACATGTCAATTGAAGACATTTGAATGTGTATGACATGACTGATTTTGTTGCACAACATCCTGGTGGTGTCGAGCCTATTAAAAGATGGGCTGAAAAAGGATGAGCCAAAATCGTGCTACCCAATAGCCATCAAGAGAACGGTAATGCGCGACTTTCGCAAAGCATGAGACACTCGCAATTCTTGGGCAAGCTAGGAACTACAGTCTCCCTTTCGGACATACCGTCAACATTGCAAACTTCCAAAGAATCTTGAAAAAATTTGGCATTTCCCCTTCAAATCCAATGGGGCTGTTGGTGAAGTTGCCAACGACCCAACTTTGGGGTCTGGATATTTGATCGAATCGTTCGAGAGGGGCAGCACACGTGGGGAATCAGAAGGTGGGAATTTGGACCCAGATTGCACTTTCGAGTCTAGATCAACTACGCCAGCTTGTAGCCTTTGCATTGAGCCAGATCCTTGTTGTCAGTCCGCAACTCCTTCCATCCAGGTCAAGAGGGCACGGAGACAATGTTAAGTTTCTATGACATTTTTTGTTCGACATGCCTTTGGGAACTACCGCGACGTTCTGAAAGAGGTTTCGTTTCATCCCAAACTGGGCGAAATGCTTTCATCCCTGAATTCAAAGAGTTTTCAGCACTTGAAGGATCGAGGCGAGGAAGCATATCCAGATGAGAACTGTGCAAGAGAAATCATGCAACTATTTTCTATTGGCCTTCATAGGTTGAATATGAACGGAACCGTTCAGCTTGATGAAGATGGCAAACCGCTTCCTACTTATGGCACTGAAGATATCTTGTCATTTGCAGGGGTATGGACTAGTTTTAAACAGCAAGAACGACGTGGCAACTATGAACATGAATTTTCTCGAGTTGACCCAATGGCCTGCCATATCTCAATTGCTTTCTGTCTTCATTTACTCACAACAAGTCTTCATATTGTTTTGGAATGCGACAGTTGCTGGCACGATATATTCCCCAAGTCCGATCTTCATGGAGGTTTCATTGGTGATGGTTATCCACTCTGTGTTAACATGGAGAAAACACTCTTGAAGAAACGTGCAGTGTACAGATTACTTGGCTCTCGTCCGTCACCTGAGCTACAAGAAGACCCAGCGTCATGGGCTGCAGATTCGGAAATCCAGAGATTGCGGCTCGATGTGACGAGTCCCTTATTCAAGCAACTTTGTGCTGCGCACAACTCGGGTGTGGGTTGCTCGTTTCCCGGAAAGGTTGTCTTGCAAAAAGACTTGGAATATGGCCTCTTCCAAGATGCAGCAGAATTGAAGGTTGATACCTTGAGGACCATACAGGCTCAGTTGGATACTGTCCCTATATTTTACGAATACATTGAGCCCATTTGCGTAAACCATGCATTCTTCAACGATCCGAAGCGAGTGTTGGCCGGTGTAGGAAGAAATGGGGAAGCGATATCCATGATGTGCGCAGATCCACTCCAACCCGTGGCGACGGAGAACTGCTGCAACAAGGCCTCAATTGACAGTTCTCGTGTTCCATTTGGAAGAATGAATTGCAAGTACAATGGGGAGCGAGTCAAATTTGTAACCAACCTACAGCGGTGCAACTCCATTGGTATGGTGGATTTGGCCCGCATGTTAGTTGAGCGTTCTGGTATCTGCAGCAAGGATATTGACAGAATACAACAGCGCCGATTCCTTATGTACAGGTGGTCTAGGGGGTGTTGTTCTATTCATATTAAAGTTGCAGAGAACGGCAATATTGCGAGTGTTCACGATCCAGGTAGGACTTACATTTGCCATCTCACTTACATTTGCCATCTCGTCTGATTGGTTTTGCCGGCGCTCGCATTCTCACACAACGCTTTTAATTTGATCGTTTTTCTTGGTGGCACACAGAGCCTGACCGGCAAGGTGAAAAGTCTGTTCCAAATGGGTTGCACAAGGGTAATAAGAATTTCTTCAAGGTTCCATGGGAGAACAATGCATTTCCTTCTGCTTCGATGGGATGCAATGACTCTAATGAGCAGTGTATTCTGTCAGGTTCACACTGCATTTGCAAAACCAGTGTACAAGAATCAGTAGGCTTTCAATCAGCGAATGCATTTAGCAGCGATGTTGATGTAGCGATTAGGAGTAGCTATTTGTTGGTGTCCAAGATCCGCAAGACCTTGTCTCCACTTACGTCAGCCGTGGCAATTGCAATGGAAGGTTGGCAAGAGTTCAAGTCTATACGACTTTGTCCACTAGTTGTGACAACTTTGATGAGGATAATATTTTTGCGCTTGTGGACTCATCCAAACAGATATTGTATCGGAAGAACATGGTGTCAGCAGTCAGCGTTGGGGATGTGTACCTCTTTCAAAATCCAGTCAGTTTCTCGAACTTTGTCAAGCCAACATTGTGGGATGCTTATGCTGAGATGGATGCGGCCATTGAGCATTACTTGCATCACCCAAGCCATCCGCCCTTCCTTGCAACCATGATGCTTTGACGATTTGGTTTCTCGAATCCTTCACCACGCCTTGTCTTGGTTGTTGCAGAAGCCTACCAAAGAGGTACCTTTGGCTCTTTTGGAAGTGGCGAGTACAGTGACATGCAGGCGATATTGCTGCAATAATGCTGGATCCTGAATCAACGAGCGCTTCGCTCAATTCGGATCCAACTCATGGCCAACTACAGGAACCACTTCTAAAGGCACTTTCATTCCTTCGTGCCATGAACTATGATCACAAGAGCCCAACTCTCTGGCTTATACTCACCAATCTCGAAAATCAAATCGGTGAAGGGGTCTACGAGCCTCCAGATGTGTTTTCATTCTTTCCAGCTGACTTTGTTCCAGGGAAGCTTTCTGGGTCTACCTTGTTTTCACCAGAATCAAGAGAGCTGAATGCTGGAACCATAACTGGATTTTTGGATGGGTTATTCACTACAGCAAAATACGGTAAGCTTCAATTGATGGTCAAAATGCAGCATTGAATTCAATCAATTCATTTATGACTTGTTCTATAGGCATGATACCCCAACTCTGTTTTGGTGGCCTTGGTGGTGAAAAGCCAAGAGGGACCCGAAGGTGTCCTCCTCAACGTAGGATTGGGGACTATTCTTATTCAATGGGTAATCTGATGTACATGCCCACCACAATCACGGCAGAAGGAATTGTGAACGAGCTCGCTTTGCTCTTGACAGCTGATCGACTGCAGGAGGCTCATCGGTAAAGAATCGCGCAAGAAATCCAACCCTTTTTGTTTGTTGACTTGGAAAAGGCTGTACGTCTCGCACAGCAGCTAATTGTGAGCACTCCAGAGCTTCATGCCACCAACAAGGTTCACTCCAGTGGAAATCAACGTGCAATTGAAGCGTCAACAAGTCCCAAGATTGGTGACTACAAAGTAGTCGTATATTTGATGCTAACTGAAGGAATGGATTCTTTCAATCTACTTGTTCCCAAAGATGGATGCATTTCGACGGAATTGTATGAGAAGTAGAGGCAGGTGAGAGGGAATGCTGCACTGGAACAATCGGATTTGGACTCTATAAAGACGTCTGGCCAGCATTGTACCGAATTTGGTGTGAACAATCGCTTCCATCTGATGAAGGAATTGTATGATGACGGAGACGCCATGTTCTTTGCGAACATTGGCAGGTTAGACAAACCAATGACCAAAGCTGACTGGCTCCAGCAAACGCGCACATCACTGTTTGCCCACAACACTCAACAACAGGAATTGACGCGGCTTGATATTGGAAAAGAATTGGATCTCTCTGGTGTAGGTGGACGAATGATTGATGTATTGAAGGAGCTTGGATATCAGACATCATCCACCACCATTGCTAGTCCCACAGCGTTTGCAACTGGATCTCCAAAGAGAGCAAATTATGTCACAACATTACCACGGGCCGAACCACTAGCTTTCAACATGGTTGCTGAAACGGACGACATGGACCAATTGTTGATTGATTTGAATAGTCTTGGAGAAATCGACAGTAGCGTATTCTTGGAGCAATGGTCGTCCAATCTGGTACAGGGAATTGCGGAATCAAGACTGACAGTCGATATTTTTCCGACCGACGGCATTAGCAACAAATTTGAGTCTGCTGCAACGTGGATCAAGAGTCGTTCGGAACGCAATGTTGAACGAGACTTGATATTCATCCAGCATCCTGGATGGGACCACCACAATATGAATGGGCAAAACAACCTGGAGACAAAGCTTCCAGAATTGATTGGTGCCATGGCAGCTTTTGTGGAGGAATTGAAAGCGCAGAATGTTTGGGATCATGTGGTGATCATGTCTGGCTCTGACTTTGGCAGAACACTGACTCACAATTCACGTGGTGGAACTGGTAAGATTTCTTGCAACATCGTTCTCCTGCTTCTCTTGTCAGCCCTTTTCTGCTCTAACACTCAATATGCAACAGATCACGCTTGGGCTGGAAACAATTTCATGATGGACAGTGGTCTCCAAGGCGGTATCATCCATGGGAAGTATCCAACTGACTTTTCGGAAAATGGCGATTGGAAAAATTGGGCGAGGTCGACTGATCCCGACATTGCCGAATGAGGCCCCATGGCAGGCTGTTGCTCAGTGGATGGGAGCGGAAGATTCGAAAGATTTGGATTACATCCTGCCAAATCGAAAGAGCTTTGACGCATGCTCCTTGTTTACAGACGAGCAACTTTTCCATTCGGGATCGACGAAAAACTATTGTAATACTGAAGACAACGTCAACGGTGACAGCAACAACGATGACATCAATAACGGCAGTGGCAGCTTCATTGGAAATAACAACAGCGACAACGCCAACGACAGCAGTAATAATGAGGATATCAACAGTAGCGGCAGCGAGCACAATAACAGCAATGGCAACGGCAACAGCAGTATTGGCAACAAGCACGACAATGGCAGCGGAAACTTCGATGGGAACCACAGTAGCGACAATGACAACAACAAGGGCTCGGGGGGACCAATGGGTACCTCAAGATTGTTAGCAGTTTGTGGACCGGTGAGTATTGCATTGTTGTTGACTTCCTTGTCATGAGAAGAATGAATCAACCAGAAGGATGCATTAGCACTATGTTGCATACTATTTAGATATTTTGTAAAATAGTCCTCTGTTAGATATATACGTGTAGGTTTTAAAAAAGTAAGAAAGAAGAGACTGACTGCAACTCATTCGGTGCAATCTGCACATCACCGCAATAATAAAAAAGGATGATGGCGATACGCCATTAAAATAGATATATTGAATAATATATGAACGGCGCCAACCAAAAGATATCGGGACTACTTGGAGATTCCGGAATTGCACGCGTGCGCCCGTCAAGTCGGTACCGCTCTACTAAAGCCACGCCGGAAGCACTGCCGAAAATTGAAGGATGAAACTGCCATTCTCTTTCTACCCGAGTAGTGCTCGAGTATACTAGGCAACAACACGAGGACAAGTGCACTGGTCTATCGGTATCAGGCTTCAAATAGTACATTTGAAGTTATCGTGATTACACGCTTGGTTTTTTGATGCCCACCCACCCACCGGGGTTTGGACGCCAGACAAGACCGGATGGATTAGGAACCCATCACGTCTACTGGCTGGTTTTGGTATGGTCACGTCCCGGATGTTCGGTGGAGAATTCTTTGGATGCTTAACGAGCGTGGAGATATTCCTCTCAAAGCATTAAATAACAGAGAATTGCCACCCTCTCCGGTCCCGGACCAAATTTGCTGATACCAGTAAGGCAGAGCAAAATCTGGCTCTGTCTGGCTTTATCTATCAAACGATTAAAGTTGCAGGTATGGTGGTCGATTACTCGGATGGATTCAGCATCGACCCCCCACACATTGGTACCTGAATGTTATTCCTATTCAGTGTGCCCTTAGGTCTATAGTTGTTAAATGGAGTAAGCTTGATCAAATGTCGCCCCAACATCTAACTGGTTTGTCTCTGTTATTATGCCATCTCTTGCATCAGCTCGAAGGGCAGACGAACGGCGCCAACCAAAAGATATCGGGACTACTTGGAGATTCCGGAATTGCACGCGTGCGCCCGTCAAGTCGGTACCGCTCTACTAAAGCCACGCCGGAAGCACTGCCGAAAATTGAAGGATGAAACTGCCATTCTCTTTCTACCCGAGTAGTGCTCGAGTATACTAGGCAACAACACGAGGACAAGTGCACTGGTCTATCGGTATCAGGCTTCAAATAGTACATTTGAAGTTATCGTGATTACACGCTTGGTTTTTTGATGCCCACCCACCCACCGGGGTTTGGACGCCAGACAAGACCGGATGGATTAGGAACCCATCACGTCTACTGGCTGGTTTTGGTATGGTCACGTCCCGGATGTTCGGTGGAGAATTCTTTGGATGCTTAACGAGCGTGGAGATATTCCTCTCAAAGCATTAAATAACAGAGAATTGCCACCCTCTCCGGTCCCGGACCAAATTTGCTGATACCAGTAAGGCAGAGCAAAATCTGGCTCTGTCTGGCTTTATCTATCAAACGATTAAAGTTGCAGGTATGGTGGTCGATTACTCGGATGGATTCAGCATCGACCCCCCACACATTGGTACCTGAATGATATTCCTATTCAGTGTGCCCTTAGGTCTATAGTTGTTAAATGGAGTAAGCTTGATCGAATGTCGCCCCAACATCTAACTGGTTTGTCTCTGTTATTATGCCCGGAGGAACACTGGAATTCCAATATCTCAGCAAGTATTCCATACAAAACACAACCGAATGGATCCCCGAGGAGGTATGATCACTGCCGAGCTTTCCAGCACATGTTGAATGTGAGGCATTGACCCTCTTGACTTTCTGCCGACCACTTTCTGCAACCCAAAAGAACCAGCCGAACGAAGCAGGGTAGATTGTAGTGTAAATAAGGCGATGGGAAGTATGAATAGCCGCTCCAGCCATAGTCTATCTATCAAATACGCTTGCCACAACATGTTTGGTGGTTTTAACTTCTCTGGGCGTCCACACTGGCTTGTCCAAACGAAGGGAACAGTTAGACCATTGCACCTTGATGTGCTCCAAATCGTCAATTTTTGTAGTTGGACACTGCGAAAGAGTCTCCGTGTAGATCTTGTCTTGATGGTGACGGTAGATATGAGCCGCATTCGGCAAATACGTCTTCTTTACACCTATCCGTCCAGTCCAAGCAACCAACGGAAACAATCATGGTGGATTATTGTGTGATTGCGGCCCGGCAAAATATATTCAACATAATTACCGCCGCTTCCGACGTAACATATATATCAACTATGCTTGCCACAACCTCTGATTCCACTTTCTCCACTCGTGGGGTCCAGGCCGTGCAATTTCATTGTGACCGACAAATTTGCAACTCAATGGTCTCGGTTGAAAATCGTCCTGTAGGAACCCAGATAAAGAACATAAAATGGTATCATTGCCTTTAGTATAATAAGTGAAGCAACTTCCGCAGAAAATTCTAGCTCTGTGTTGCCTTGGGACTTCGTAGACGTCCCGAAACCCCTCCAAAAGTAGTTTTCAGACCTCGTTGGTGTTCTTTAGCAGTGATTTCAGAGGTGAAAGGGGCAAATTCATCCATATCGCTTCATACAAACAAGATAGATACGGTCACGATACAGAGAATGTCCGCGACCCACGAGTTTTCCTCCAGAGGGTGATGATTTCCTCGGCCTCAAGGCTCACCATTGCCGATGGAAGGGAAAATTGATGTCAAGAATTCTCAACGGGCAAGCGCAGAGAGGTGCGCGATGGGTTCTGAAACTGATGACGTACAGAAAATACTGGGTTCGCGCGCAAATTCTGAGGTATTGTACCAGGCGCCTCGTTGAATTTTGCGTACAAGCAAAATGGAACCAAAATGCATCCAAGATTTTCTCTTTTTCCATCAACAAACATACCCTTGTCAACTCTACCAATACTACTGTAACAAAAAGCTGACCTATTACCTACAACCAAGCCTACATAACACTTCTACAACTCGCGCTTTCAACTTCTTGTCTCACCAGCTCTTGGAAATTTACGGGATCATCCTCATCAACATCCCACTCAACATCAACATTCTGCTCATCATCGTCGTCCTCGTCGTCGGGTTCTAATTCATCAAAGCTCGTCATTGCCTGCTGCGTCTCTTCGCCGTTAGCCTCAACTGGGCCATCAAACTCCACAGCAAAGCTTGCACTGTCGAATACGCCTCCTTCCATTGGGATGACAACATCCGTCACCTTTCCAGCCACGGACACCTTCCACAGCAGCTGGGCAATCCTTCATCACAACAATCAACTGACGTTCTGGCCTACGTTTTCGCCACTCGTCTGGACCAAGTGTTTGATATCATCATGGATGGCTTCTTCTTCAAGGTCCGAAATTGTGGCCTTCCGATTGGCGGTTTCAGCTTTAAGCGCAGATATTGACACGTCAACGTCATCTTCGTACTATTCGGATTGGGAATCAATTGAATTCACCAGCACAAGCTGTTATAGCCTTGTTGGTTTTAGCTACACATATCCTTTTTTATGTTTGGTGTAAGAGTCCTGCAGTCGTAGTTTGTCTTCTCCTTCTTTTTGTAGGGATGTTTGGCGACTTGGCATATCGATTTGAATTCCGGCGGTCCTTTTGTCGGACCACGGCAATGAAATTAAAGCCCACAAGTCGTACACCATCTCCTTGACTTTATATGATCACAGATGAGATCCTTTCTCTGCTTTGATGATGGCGAAGGAGTCGCAACAATCACAGCAGCAACCTTGCCATCGTGAACAATGATGACAAATGACAAATTTCATAATTTCGACGTCAAAAATTGGCGCACACTTTTTTTAGCCAATACAAAGTCATCATGAAATTGTTTTCTGCAAATTCCGATGCTATTGGCGTTAAATTCCGCTGTTTTCTTAAAAATAGGATTTTGGATTTGTATGGTGCTATTTTTTAAAATCTGCCGATTTTCTATGGGGGAAATGCTAGTTTTTCGTGGAGTTGGGTCATGTATAATATATATCATATAGTCACATCTCACATCTCACTGAGGCAGTGGGAATTCCCCCTTTTCATTTTATTTCGTCCCCGCGATATTTAACGCGATTTCCCACAACTAGTTGTGGGAACAGTTTTTTGCCAAAAATTCCCACAACTAGTTGTAGGAATCTTAAAAAATAGTTGTGGGAAATTCCTACAACTAGTTGTGGGAATTTCCCACAACTAGTTGTGGGAATTTCCGTTGCTCAGATGTCCGTTATTTTTGCCTTAAATGTATCACGAAATATCACGAAAACAATTAGAGTTTTGGGAAACATCATTTGTAGTTGTTTAATTTCTAGTCAGTACATATCAAACGTTGTTTTGTGCGTAGAACGGACAGTTTTGCGTAGAACGGACAGTTTTCCCATAATTCCCAATAAAACAATTAAAGTTGTAGGAAACTTCCTACAACTACAATTAGAGTTGTGGGAAACTTCAAATTTGTCTCAGTACATATCCTACGTGGTCTTCTGTGTAGAAATGACAATTTTCCCACAACTGTTGAGGGAATGCCCACAACTAGTTGTGGGAAGCAAAATTGAGTTGTGGGAAAAATTGAGTTGTGGGAAAAATTGAGCTGTGGGAAAATCTCGCAACTAGGGGAGAAATCCGGGGATTCCCACTAAATTGAGCTGTGGGAAAATCTCGCAACTAGGGGAGAAATCCGGGGATTCCCACTGCCTCACTGGTATTCGAACCACGCCAGCCAGGCATGTGACATGATGTCAAACACGTCAAAGATGAGATTTCGAACGTAAAACACATAAAAAATAACGCCACCCATCACCTCTCATCCTTACCACTATCGACATCATCATGTATCATACCCACACTCTTCTCGAGTAGAAGAAATCTATCACAAGGCGTTGTTCTACATCGATATCAAGGATAGGTTTGGTCATATTGTCTCTGGTCATTTTTCAAGAACAGTAAATTCAAGCCATTCGATTCGATTCGATTCATCCCATCACCCAAAAGAAGTATCATCATCATCATCATCGCCATCATCGTCATCATTTGTTGGCGAGCCAGATTTGCGTCTAGAAAGGGCATATACACGAGGATTGGGCATCATCACTCAACAATCGAGACCATCCGATTGCAAAATGACGTGCACAAGAGCTTCAATAGCGATTGCTTTGTCGCTTATGCTCCTAATTGCAATCTTTGTCTTGATCATGGTCCAAGAAGGATCTCAAAGTCCAGGACAAAAGGGTCCTTCGTCGCATTTGAGACCGATCCATAGTGAAAACGAGAATGCTGAAAACGAGAACCACTCAAATGCTGGAAAAGATGTACCATCTTTGCTTTGGAGCGACGAGTTTGATGGCGATGAGCTGAACCCACAGTATTGGTTATATGACACTACCAAATCACTCTTAGAGCAGCAACAACAAAATGAAAATCAACTGCAGGATGATATCAAGTTGGATCCAGTCAATATGGACTTCGAATACTACGATTCTCATGCAGTTGTCGTAAAAGACGGGCTGCTTACCATTTCCACCCAGCAAGTTATCAATGCTGCGGTTCCCTTTGTGTCTGGAAGAATAAAGACTCAAGAGAAGGTTATGTTCCAGTATGGTACTATTGAGGCTCGCATACGGATCAGAAGCAGCTGTGAACCCGGTGTCGATGTCTGTGTCAGCTCGCGCAACCTTTCGCCTTCCTTATGGACTCGGGGCAACGGATCAACATCCTTTGGAGAACCGACAATGGGACAAGTGGACATATTCACCGCATCTATCCCAAAGAGGAGAAGAGCATTGGCAAATGGTCACCGAATGTTATCGTCATCGATACCAACACAATCGATACTATTAGACAGCCAGTTAGAAGCAAACGCAAATGGAATTGAGAAGGACTTGGATTTAGACCACTCTTGGAACGGTCACTCGGGAGCAACTTGGATCACATCCGATCCGAACAGTGACAGTGAAAGACTCATCAAAAAGTCGATGCATGATGATTTTCCAATTGAAAACTGGATGAATCAAGACTTTCAGATTTACACGTTCGATTGGACACCGACTCGAATGGCAACTTATATTGACGACGAACTCGTCTTTGAAATGGACATAACAGATGGATCGTGTGGAGACTGCCAAGATTTCCATCGACCTCACTACCTGCTATTGGCTATCACAGTGTTGGATTCGCCATCATGGGCATTATCGTCCTCGTCAACACTGGATCTGACGGTGGACTACATCCATTTGTTGGACAACGGGTTTGCCAAGGTTTCCACGATGCCTGATGAGACAAGGCGGCAGCTGTGACTGGCTACGGTGAAGAAAGAAGGAAACTATTTTTGTAAATGAAACAACTAGGACTATACGATAAATATAAAAACATTTGTTGGTGTGTGCAGTGCGTAATAGGGCAGACATTACAAAACAGCTGTTTCAAGCACTTCAAGTCCCGCATGGTCGAAGTTGATGATATGAGTAAAACCTTATTAGTTAACTATGGCAACGATTATACTGTATAAGAAATAAAACATTGTGCGTAAAAGGTTCGACATTACGAAACAGCTACTTCAAGCGCTTCAAGTCCAGTGGCGTCGCAGAAGGTTGAAGTTGTTATGAAAGCTTCTCCAGATTTCTGAAGAGATATATAACAACTTCAATAGTATGAGTTCCCAGGATTGAAAACATGAACCTGGCCCATAAATAAAAACTTCCAAAGTGAACCGGGATCGATGGAATACACCGAAGACTGTTAAATCCAACAAGAAACAACCTGTTCTGAATCAGCTCCCAGAAGCAAAACAACGTCAGTTCAAAAAGTCAATTCGACACGATTTTCTGAGCACACATCTCATTCACAACTTTCACGCTTCCTTTTTATAATTTGCAATATACCTTCCCCTCTCATGACTCAAGTACCAACACAGGAACCGAGCAAGGCACAATGTTCTAATGGCAATGATGCAAAAGCAAAGAAGAACCCTGGAAAGGCATCGAATCGACCAAAGAACAACAACTTTCCAGCCAAGCTCCACACAATATTGAGTACGCCAGAGTTCAATGACATTATTTGCTGGCTCCCCCATGGTCGAGCTTTCCGAGTTCAACAACAAGGAAAGCTGGAGTCAGAGGTTCTACCAAAATTCTTTCAGCATCAAAAGGTTGCTTCGTTCTATCGACAGGTTACTGGGTGGGGCTTCAATCGGATCACAAAAGGGACTGATTTCAACGCATACTACCATGAGCTGTTTCTACGCGATGCCCCGGAATTATGTAACAGGATGAAACGACCTACAAGGGCAGAGCTCGCAGAACGAAAGATTGACATATCGAAATCACCGCCAGATTTCTATGCCATCCCCCAACATTCAGATACCAAGAATAGGAAAAACGACGAGGAGACTGTAGAACACTCTTCGGCTTCCGAACATGACATGACCCTGGACGATTTCAAGGACATGCTAGTGAGACGATTGTCGACATATTCATCTAGCGAAATGGGCCAGTATTTGCAATTTGAAATGAATAAACTGGAGAAGAAACGGGCGGCCATTCTAGAGTCACTGAAGGAGTTGAATGGTTCCCAAAATCGTTCTACTTCCGCACCAGCGCCACCAGCAATTCGTCTGCAACCAACACCCGAACCACAGCATTCGCGACTAAACAACCTCCAACATACGATGCTTCTCGATCCAGTGCAATTGGCCCATCTACAACTAATGCAAAGCCGAAATCTTCGAACAAGCCCGTTGCAAGCAATGTCACAGATGGCTCTGGCAAACCATCTGCTGAGTGGAACATTGGGATCTGAACAACACTCTTTCAATCGGCCATGTTGATTCTTGTCTTTGCTACCAATTGATATGCCAAAGAGAGATACACTAGATTCCAAACGATCTTTTGGAGACCAGCGGCGCCGATGGTACTAGTTTCGACTTTTATTCTCGCTGGATTGCATACACACTGACGTTTTGGTCGCATCTATTTTCGTCGGGGATACTCGGACAAATCTTTGGATCAACACCATTTCTGTACCGGCGTTTTATAGTCCGGTGAATTACAGTTGCCAGTACCGTCAGGTACCCACCTGTCTACTCTATCTTTAGCTACTTGCCTCGGACAAATAAAAAGAAAGATTTTAATAAAAAATAACTCTGTTCCGACTCATAGATGCTTATACTCTTCGCCCAAGCCGCAACTTTCTAAAAAGGCTTCGTGACGAAATTCGGCTAGCTCTTCGTCGTTGTAAAAGAGATCCCCGTTATTGCCCTCTGACAAGGCGGCAACAAAGGTCATTTCAGAAAAATCTGAGAACATAACAGAAGACCCCCGACGTAGATTGGGATCTGGCAAGTGTAACTCATCTATGCAGATTGATTCGTGCAGTGGAGAGTTGGTGGGAACGAAAAATGAGTTTCTCTTTTTGAAAGCTGGCTTTCCTCGTAGACCCGAAGGCGAGGTGGTTTCTTTGACGGCGGACTTGCTTCGTCTTCCCGAAGGTGAGGTTCTTTCTTTGGATCTTGGACAGTTTTCGGAAGTCACTTTTGCTGCTAGACTTATTATGGTAAGGTCACTCTTCTTTCTCGGCTTCCTCGATGATCTACTCGAAGGTGAAGTATTTCCTTTGGACCTTGTAGTGTTTTTGGCATCAGTCACTTCTTGTGTTGTTGGTACCGTCAGTACGGTAGAGTCGTCGTTCAGTTTCGCGCTCTTCTTTTTTAGTTTCTTCGACTTTCTTTGTTTCCTAAGTTGCTTCTTATTATGTTCACTTATTGTGGCACTTGTCGTTTCGGTGGAATCTGACATGCGTATTGTCTCTGAAGGGCGAGCCGAACCTGCAGAATCAGCGCTGGAGACTCGCCGCGGTGGGCACTTGCGCTTTTTCTCAACTGTGGCGTTCAGAGACCTTCTTCTTTGCGTAATCTTTTTAGGTTTTGGAACTTGGCTACCTTCCCTTCGGGGAGATGGAGGAGACACCGAATTTGTTCGCACATCGTACTGAATGACAAACAACGGAATTTCATCATCAAAGCCAATCCCCAAAGCAGCATCCAAACTTTCTTGGACAGAGGCCCGCCGTTCCAAGCTTCTGCGCTTGTCATATTTGGTAGAAACGTAGGATGTCCTTCTTATCATCGTGGCGTGCCGCTATGGTATGTCTCGCTATTGTAGTTGTGTTTGCATAGATTGATCAAAATAAAAGTCAAGAAACCGGCAAAAATGTTAACCCCGCGCCACAAGCTTTGGAAACACACTCATCGGAAATTTTTTCCGAAATAGACGGTGTTTATTAGGAGAAATTTTAGTGAATCTGGTGAAACTCCTCAATTTCGGATAAACAGATTTGTAATTGTTATGTGAAGAAATATCAATTTTATCGGAGACGTTTTGAGATATATTGCTTTACAATACCAGATACATTTTCCATACCTGGTAACGAGGCAATAGTTGGAGATTCTTGGACCACCAAGTGTAGTACTGGTACCAATATTCATTGTAATAGTAAATAGCTCTGTCCGTGGTAATTTGCCTCCTGCACATGCGATGTCGATGTTCGACGTGCATCCCAGAGCAAGATTTTGAAGAGATCACAAATGCTCTCAAACCACCACCAACTTTGAAAACCAAATTATGTTTCCAGTATAGATAGGATATAGTGCTTTACTTGGACTGGATAACAACTGGCAGAAGTAAACGTAAAATAATACGGTATATCTATGTAGTTCAATAACAGAATTCGTCCGTGTCTACTAGGCCACAGTCTTCCAAGAAGGCATCGTGTCGGAATTCCGCCAATTCATCTTCCTTGTAGTACAAATCATCAAGGTGTGCACTCTCTCCAAGATCTGCCACAATGGTCATTTCCGAATAGTCGGCAAATGTCACACTGGATCGTTGCTTTGTGGGCAAATCCAAGTCATCAAAGTTGAAGGAATCGTCCAAGATGGACAAGTGTCCACTGGTGGGAACCAAGAACGAGCTGCGGAGGGAGGATGATTTCCTCCTGCCAGAGCGGCGTTTTCTTGATGGAGTAGTAATGCTGCTGCTGTGGCTACTCAATCTCATGATCCCTGCCAAAGAGGACTGTACACTACTGCTTTCGGAAGCAACAGTAGGAGCAGTATGAGTCGACTCTTCATCGATATGCTTGGACAACTTCTTGACTTTCTTCTCGGACTTTTTCTTTTTGGGCGTCCTTGGGCTCTTAGGACTCTTTGGAGCTTTCGATTTCTTGGGGGATTTGATCGAGTCCTTCTTGTCCGTCTTGGCATTCTTTGTGAGACTCCTAGAAGAAGATGTCTTCTTGGGACTTTTAAGAGGGCTTCTGGAAGACTTGTTCTTCTTCAGCTTCTTGGGAGTAGATGGTGGGTCAAGTGGCTCCATGGTAGCCGCGATGGAGTTATCTTCATCGTGTTGTTGCTGCTGAGCGGCCGATTTGAGTGCATCCAGAGATTCCACAACGTTGACGGATCTGTTGGAACGTCTCTTGGTCCTCTCGGCAGTAACGATGACACTGTTGTCACCTTTGTTGTCGCCTTTGTCGTCTTCTTCTGTTAGAATCATCGTGAGAGTATCCAAAGACTCGGCAATTGATTTGCTGGTGGAAGATCTTCGCTTGGAGGACTTGCGTGCAGAAAGAAAGTGAGCGGTTCTTCCAGGACTGGTCGCTGTAGAGGCTTCTGAGGGAGTTTGTGGAGCTTCTTCAGCAGGCTTGGGAGAACCTGGTGGCGAGGTAGGGGTGGGAGTCGAAGGAGGGCTTGCGATTGAGCTGCAATCATCAACAACAACATCATCGTCAAGATCATCGAATCCAATTCCCAAACCAAGCAAGGAATACGCGATAGAGGCCCGCCGTTCCAAGCTTTTCCTTTGATCGTATTTGGATTGAATGTAGGAGGTGCGATTGCGTTTGGGGGTTCCTAGGGCCATCTTGACAGTGTAGTGAATGAGAGTGTGGAAATTATGAGTATGTGAGTCTGATCTGAGACTTGTTCGGAAAACTGAAAGTTGAATATTGCTCAAGTCGTCATGCGAAAAATCAAACATTTAGTGCAAATTCATTTAAAACACTTTTCATTGAGGACTGGGATTATGGTTTATGAGGTTTTCTCCCACATATTTGTATGCCAGTGGCTTAAATGTGGTGCAATCGGAATCAAGATTAAGATTTTTTAAAAATGCATATCGGTAGTCCTGAAGCTGTCACGAATTCTGAGAAAGGGAAAGATTTTATTTAACAACATCCGTACTTCACGACTTACCATCAATTGATGCTCCCGAGCTGTTAAATGTTGTTTTCAGATACGCTAATTTTTAAAAAGTTCAGCAACGTTTTACGATCCATGTGGTTGCGGTGGACGGTGGATGGCGGCTTTTCAGATCAGACCGTTTGTCTTTTACGTGTCCACACCACCGACAAGCCCGCCCGCTCTGGACCCGCCAAAAGAAGCGGATCGACACGATTGAATCAAACGACTCAAACTGGTCTTCCGAAAAGGCATCTATCGCATCTCATCGTTGCGGTTGATAAGGAACGAGAAAATCTCAGACCGCGCTGCCTGTCACGACAACATCAACATTTTCATTTGGCGACTCTTCTCAGCCCCCTTCAGCAATCATCACCAACCATGGAATACTTTCTACATGACGTCTCAGAGGCTACCAACAGCATGTCTTCATCAGACTGGTGCAAGGGAATTGGATTGTCCATTTTTGTTTCCTTCATCACGGGCGCTTCCAAGCTTGCAATTCGTAAATCTTGGTTGATTCAGCATGAACAAGAAGCTGCTGCTGCTGAAGCTGAGGGTCAGTCGTCGTATCCATTACTGGGATGTGAACAAGGAACGGAAATCACTTCCACGGCCTACCTAGTATCGCATGATGGCATGGTTGATGAATCCTCAGGAGAATTAGATGATTCGGATGATAAGAATTGCTTTGATTTTATGCAAGACAAGAAACAACGATATTTCAAGTTAAATCCACGAGCCTTAAGATATGCTGGAATGTTTGGAATGACCGTCTTGAATCCCCTTTGCAGCGTATTTGCCATGAATTATGCTTCTCCGAGTATTCTGGCACCCTTTTCAGGACTTGCTCTGGTGTGGGTGATCCTCGGTGCAGGCGTGTACTTGGGGGAACCACCTTCCAAGTCGCAGGTTGCTGCTACCTTACTTATTGTGATTGGGGAAGTGGTCGTTGCAATATTCGGGGATCATACCAACGATAGTGGAGTCACGGTAGAAGAAGTGGTATGTACACGGCATAGAATTGCGGCATGCCGATGGTGTTGCCATCTGGCATCTGACATTGTCAACTGTTTCTCACTCTCCTGCGGTATTGTCCCTATCCCATCTTAGGCAAAATCATACTCCTCTCCCGCTACCATTTCCTACTTTGCTTGCCTGGCTGTTTACATGTTGTTTCTATGGTATCTCGTTACGAAGAGCAATGCCCCAACGTGGCAGCGTTTTGCCTGGGGAAGTTGTGGTGGTGCCATTACGGGGCCCCAAAATTTTATCAAGGATTCACTCACGACACTCAAAGCAGTCATATCAACTCCAGGTGTCAAGATTCCTTGGTTCTTTCCCCTATTGATTGCCCTAGCAATTGTCACTTCCTTTGTGGGCTTGCTTTTATTTACGGCCGCCATGAAGCGATACAATGCCACCTATTGTGCGGCGGCCTATGTGGGCTCCTATGTCATGTCTGCATCTATCAATTCCATCATGCACTACGATACCTTTGCTTCCTTGCCTGGTACCTGGAACGATATCATGTATCCCGTTGGATTATTTATCTTGATGATGGGAGTCTATTTACTGGAGGCGACTGGTGAAGATGCGATACTTGCGGAAGACGTCGAGGAAGAAGTGGAATACATTTTGGATGGTATCACCACCATGATTTTGCCACAAGTGTCACAAGAAGAAGCCATTGAACAGGCTCTTCGAGACTGCAAAGAAGTGTTTGCCTATGTACAGCTAGAGGCGCAACCAGACGATGAGGAGGAAGCGGATGGGGAACGTGCAAAGTGAATAGCAGCTGAACGCTCCATTGCACACAAGCCATGGCCACACACTTGAACCCATCACCTACCCTGGTCACATTCCGAATGGCTGGGCGAAGTTTCCATGTCCTAGTCCTTTTTGTTTCGAGAAAGAATCAATCGATTGGATTGGAATATAGCGAGCCACTATATGTCCGAGACAGCATAGATCTGCTTTTCTGCGAAGGCAACAGAAGACAATGATGAAATGCTAAGATAGAGGTCCAATCGCCCACTACTTGGCATATTATATTGGTAGAGAGGGCGATAACATTATCATCTCTCCATCCATATTATTTTGTACAAACATCGCATAGATAACAGCATTCTAATTGGCTTGTACAAACCAGTGGCAGGACTATCCTATACTACATCCTACATTTTGATTCATATAGTCCTCATCGCTCGCCACAATTGAGTCTTTTGGTTATGAGTCTTATTGTCGCCGCCCCGACGAGTTAGTTAGATTTTCCCATAGACTACTTCCGGAGACGAACAATATCGTTCCTCTTCATCATCCTCATCTTGGGTTTGAGTTGGTTCCATATGATCGTCATCTTCCAGATGATCGGGTGGGCTACTGGTGGAGGGAAGAACGACTGGGGATAGTTGTTGAGAAACAGATGCCGATGGTTCCGCATCCGATCCAGCCGGCAATCGTTGTTGCGCCCGAAGACGCTTGCGTTCTTCTCGACGTCTCGAAGAAGAAGAAGCATTGGAACCAATACTGCTGAAGCGGCTCGATGGTCTTTTGGCAGCACCCACCGCATGATTATTGTCATCATCGACTACAGGCAAGGCACCAAAGAAGGATGGTTCAATGCCACCACCACCACTCTCATCATGACGACTGCCATCATCGTCATCGTCATTGGTACTGCGTTGACTTTTGTTGGCTGGAACACTTTGTCGGGACAAATCGATTGGTTGTTGCGAGTTCTTGCCAGAGTCATCATCATCTTGATTGTCGTCATGGCCAACCGTGGATTGACTTGGAGTAAAATGGGCGGCGGTACGATGATCTCTCGAGGAACCTGCACTGCTGGAACTGCCTTGGGTGTGCGTATTGGAGCGAGTCATTCTACTCGAGGCATCGGTCCGATCATCGTCGGTTTCACTATTGGCATCGCTGTCTCCATCATCGTCATCCTCGTCTTCTTCGACAATGAGTGGGACTAGTAAGCCATCACAAAAGGCGGCAATGTTGTCGTGGCACAACAATTGATGCTGAATGGCCAGAATACCCTGTTCGTTGACGGAAATGCAAGTTTCGTGAGCTTGACTGTCCAGCAAGGGCTTCATGGCTTGGGCCCAAGCTTCATACGGGTACGAATGTTTGACTTTGCGGACAGTCCGTTTGGCATTCTCATGGGATTTTCGCTTGCGACGACTGCCATCCAACGAAGACATCCGAGTACTAATACCGTCGTCGGTAGTGGCTGTATCATCATTGTCGTCCAATAACTCAATGTTGTTTTGATTCGTCCATTCAATTGGAATTTGCCATTGGACGGCACATTCACTACAAGGCCCCACAGCAGAGACTTGCAGCACTGACTTTTTGGATTCAGTAGCTGCCTGAACCGTGGTCGTCTTCCATTGCAACTGGATAGCCATTGGGGACACCAATGCCAATTCCAAGACATCCATGAGAATGGTCGACGGCACTAGAATCCGAGCAACAATGGGATGTTGCAAGAATGCTTGGGAGAGTTGGGGTTGTTCTTCCGGTGGAACTAAACCACTCACGACAGCAGTGCAAACAACGCCAGTGGACGACGAAGATGATGATGACGAGGGAGCAGCAGCACGGCCTGAAAAGGAATAGGAAGCGGTGGTGGATCGACGCATTATGGTTCCACCACATTCCGTTTCCACATGCAAGACCTCGTCGTTCATATTGTAAGTCATGGACAGCTTGTTTGGATTTTGCGTCATGGCTAGAATCAAAGCATTTCGGAGTGGCTTCCACGAAATGCAACAGCAGCAATTGCCGGCGGTTTGACTGGAGGTGCTGCTGGTTTGAGTGGCACCACCCGAAGAGGTTGCGGGAGTTGCCGAAGTTTGGTAGTACGAAAATAATTCTTTTGGTAATTCCATACTCGACTGTGAAGATAGATTGGTAGACTGATGCAACTGTAAACCAGTCTCTGTCGTGTAGATGGTCATTTGTCCAATGGATGCAGACATGTCATTGGCAGCCGCACCACTGGCATTCAAGAGCATCATACTCTGAGTAATAGTCGCTTGAGTACCAGATCCTTTTTGAGATCGTTGACTTCGTGATGCTGCCGAAGAAGAAGACGACGAACTAGACGAAGAAGAACCAAAGCTCATGAGCATTCCAATCAAGACTTTTGGATGCTCGGTTTCCAACCGAAACAATATTTTGTCCGGTGTAGTTTGCGATTGTGACGGGTGTGCAGAAGCTTGGCTTTGCGATCCCCGAGTCGTCTCTCGATCATTTTGAGACGGTGACTCGCTTTGCTGCGAACTGTCTTGCGAAAGCAGACTATTAGTAGAAAATAAAGCTTGGTTTCGGTTGACTGCTGTTGGCATCTTTGTTTTCTCGCCTATCCTTCAGGTCAACAATTGACAAGCCGCAAAGTCCAATTTCAAAATTAGCGGAATAGAAAAGAAAGAATAAGATTGCGCAACAGTTTCTCTAATTGGACTTACGGTTATTCCCTACTTATTTCGTGTTGCTTTTGTTTTCATTGTCTCGCAGTATAATATGTATTATACCGGTATAACTTCAAACTCCATCCGCATCGCGCATTATTTTTATTTTTGCTGATACCTCAAAATTGGACTAGTATGACTAGAGATTCTACTCCAAACATGCATCCCACA